ATTTCTCATGAATGGTTAATTGCAGTTACCACAGAAACCAAATATTTGTTTTTAAAAAGTTAGGTACAAAAAAAAAATGTATCTTTCAATATTTTAGCTAAATGGCAACTCATACAGTTTTCTTCATACAAGCTAACCACTTTGGCTAAACTCTAAAGGCAAATACAATATTTTTGGAGATGTTTTCATGGTAACCAGATACAATTCACAAAAGCATATTAAAAATACATATTTTCATGTATTTACAATAAACTGTAAAAATAATACATGTATTTAAGTCAAAAATTATTTTGTATTTTATGGAGATTTTGTAAAGACAATTTATTTAAAAAAGCATTTTCAGAATAAGAAGAAGGTAGTCAGTTTCAAAACAAATTATGCCCTATATTTTTCTAAAATAAGAAAGTGATGTAAAAAATAAAAATTCATTCTTTCTGAATTATAAGAACTCCCTGCAGTAAGAAAACAACCGTTTTTCTCATATGACCTCCTAAATGCTAATTGTGACATCATTAACTTGTGCGTTTTCCTGTATTTTCTTAAAAAGTTGCAGAAGACATCAATTTTCAGTGGAATTTTCTTTCAGAATACATAGTCTGCCACTGTCACCCAGGAAAATGTTGAGATATGTGATTTTTCATAGCATTTTACACAGTATATCAAAAAATTGAAGCGGGCGACGGTGGCAGACACTATTTTCCAAAGGAATATTAGCACAGAAATGGATCATTTTGGGGCTTTTCTGCATTAAACTTAGAAATGTACCGAATAAATGACGTCATATTTCCCAAAAGGTGCTATTTTATGCCATATTCTTTAATGATCTATCATATTCATCCTCTCAACTATTGTTAAAGCCAATTTCATAACTTTTTAAGAACATCAAATTTTTAGGACACAATTATGCTTAAACTGACCCTCTTCTTTGTTACCATGGTTACAAAAATTTATGAGAAATCCACTGGTTTTATCTAATATTTTAAAGGTTTGGGAGATTTTCTATCTTATATTATCAAATTTGTTGTGCTTGTGGTATTTTTTCACAACATACACTGAAAATGATGTATTTTGGTTTTTTTTTGAAAAATGAATTTTTGTGATATTATGTTGCCATGGTTACAGAATATTTTTGAAAAACCCATGGGTTTTGTTTTGTTTTTTTAGAATTAAGAATGTGGTCTTTCTATCCCATGCATTCACTTTTCTTTAACATGTTGGGTTTTTTTCTAACTAAGCTCTTAAAAATGTTTATTATTGTGAAAAATGAATTTTTGTGACATTTTGTTGCCATGGTAACAGAATATTATTTAAAAACCCATGGGTTTTATTTGATTTTATTGAAATTAAGAAAGTGCTCTTTCTATTCCACATTATCAGATTTCTTTAACATGTGGGAATTTTTCTTACTATGCTCCTAAAAATGGTTATTATTGTGAAAAATGAATTTTTGTGACATTTCGTTGCCATGGTAACAGAATAATTTTCAAAAACCCATGGGTTTTATTTAATTTTATTAAAATTAAGAATGTGCTCTTTCTATCCAATGTTATCAGATTTCTCCAACATGCTGGCCTTTTTCTTAATATGCCTCTAAAATATGTTGCATTTGAAGAAATTATGTGAAAATGTTAAATTGAAATTTAGTACCTTTAATAAATCCGATATAATTTTATGCTTATGGTAATCATTTATCATTTTGTATGTACTTCTCAGGAAAAAAAGATTTATTTATGGTACTATCATCAAAAAAGCTCTGTTCCTGTGTTCAATAATAGCTAAATTCACATTTTTTTCAATTTTTTGCTTGGTTGCCATGTGCATTTACATGGTGCACTGTTTCCATGGCAACAGAGGCAACAGAGGCTGGCCAAAAAAATTATGTTATCCAATGATGTTCCCTTGGTCCATGAAGCAACATATTAAAAATTTGTAAAAATCTGAATTGGTCATGAATCACCCCCTGCCTGGTTCTTACAAATAGCTGTACTTAACACTTTACGAATTGACCAATTACCCTGCGATCTCAATCTGAAGAGCTATAATTACCTCCAAATATTCTTAATTACAAGATGTGTAAAAACACTAAATAAAAATCTATGCAGCGCTTTCCTTTCTTAAAAAAAACCGAGAGGATTTTAAGGAAACTGCGCTCATATTAACATAATATTTTATTTTTCCGACTAACCGATTACGGGTTTTCTAACCGATTAGCATCGTTCCGACCGATTAATCGATTAACCGGTTACAAATTGCCATCCCTAGTTGATACATATTGATGAGAGATATGCAACTGCATCAACATTATTGATTTTGAACTTTGCTTTGACCTTGACCTTACTTTCCTAAATTAGTGTCAAACTTCAAACTTCAAAAGCTGATAGATATTGAGATAAGCATTTCAAGTATCATCATTTTTTACCTTGAACTTTCATTAGAGCTTGACCTCACTTTAATTCATTTGTGTTTTAAGTCTGTTTTAAAGAAACCATTTACAATATTTTTTTAACTTCATATGCTGATACTTACTGATGAGAGCTTTTCAACTGAATCAACAGTTTTTGACCTTGGTATTCCCTTTTACCTTGACCTTACTTTAATGAAATTAGTGTCAAACCTTCTTATGCTTATACATACTAATGTAAGCAATACAACTGCATCACTATTCAAAATATTCTGATCAAATTTCATATACACTTATACAAATTTTCATGTTGCTTTTCTTATAATATACCCTCGGCGGGGCATTCATGTCCTATGGACATATTTCTAGTTTTGCAACTCTCTTTCTCTTTCTCTGTGATTCCTTTTACTTTTTACAATTTTGATTATTTTTGTTATGATAAAAACTTATAAGTATGTTACATGTAATAACGATATGCATTTGTATGAATGTTGATTTAGAGATGCAATAAGAAGACAGCCAAATGTATTTTCCTATGTTTACTACAATATATTGGCTAAAAGAAGCATTTTGTAAAGTAACTCGGGTACCATGTACTTTGATAGTTTAAAGTATTGTCTATTGCTCATTCTGTTGTTGTTATTATTTTTTATATAAAGATATTTTTTATATTAAGTTTATTTAATAAAACGCATGAAATACAACACTGCAGTTTCTTGGACTAAAGATATGCATTACCTTCCACATTCAGTCTGGCAAATTAACAATTCGATAAAAAATTAAAGACTTTTCAAGCGTATTTAATTGTTATATAATATTCCCTGTGGTTAATAAACAAAAATACAAAAAAAAAACAAAACAAAAACAAAAAAACAAAACAGAAGACAAAACGTGATCTAAGAGTTTCTTTGCTGATTTCAACTTTGGCAATGCTCTGCAAGAATGAAATTCAACCGTCATAATTATATCAGAGAAAACTCAACTCGTTGTCAGGGAAATGTCCTTTTAGAATAGAAAGAATAATCAACATTTCCTTTCAAATTTTCTTTTCTTTTTGGTGCATTTTACCTCAATATATATTCTGACAAGTTTTTGCTCAAATAAACAAAAATCTGTTTATATTTTGTGGGCGTGGTCCAAAGACGCATGGTGTGCGCCATTGTCTTTTGCAGCGTCACATTTTCTATCTTCTAAGATAAACAATTGGACCAGCGTCATCTGTACCAAACACTTCCGAGAAATTTACAATTGCACACACTTGAGTTTCCATTTAATTGTTCCCTAAAAACAGTTGAAAAACTGATTTCGTACACGTGGGACCTTCTGAAGACAGAATTCTAACTACATGACAATTACAATGATTTTGATTTAAATAATAAAAGGGTCTTTTGCTATTGTCTCTTGTCATTTGTTCTATCAATTATACACGATTTTGCCGAAAATGTCAAATATACAAAGATTCCTTACGAGTTTTTTGCAAGGAGTAAGATCTGATAAATTCAAATATGGTAACTGCAGATCTTCATCTTATTCTTGAACTGAATTTTAAGATCTTTTTATTAATACAAATGAAAAGAATATAAATGGAAAATAAATTACATTACAAATAAAACTTATCCAACACAGATGGAAAGATCGAATACTAGAACGCTAGATAATGAAGACAATTAATCTTTGATTATATTAAATACCGCATCAATTAAAATATTAGTTTTAATGCAATATAATTAACAATGCAAAACACCCCTCCAAAACAATATTGCTTTCCAATCTTCTTCCCCCAGTGATATCGATCTTGCCGACATTCATGTACATTGGAATGGGAAGAATATTGATTGTATATGTTTTTAAATAACGTCCCATTCGAGAATTTTTCACTCATATATACTAATATAGAGAAAGACGTCGTCACATACCGGTGGAGGGCTTTACATTTAGACCTTTACTCGGCACTCATGGTCATTGAGCAGTGAGGGGTTTTTATCGTGTATAGTAAGAATTCTGTCTTTCTTTAAAAGGGCCCGTGTGTGTGCAGGTTATGTATTTTTTTTTGCAACAGCTGCAACATTAATCCCTATACTAAAAACCAAAGAAAGCATTTTATTGTTAAAAAAATACTCCTAGAATTAAGTTGCAAATTATGTTATATAAATTTTGTTACATTATTATTTTAATTTTTCAATGCGTTCACATTTTGTCATTTATAGTGCTAACGTTCCAAAATTGAAATAAACATACATGGACTTTTAACTACAAAGTTACACCTGATAAAAAAAATATTGAATATATTTTTTTTTTTTAAATTGCAACTTTGATCGTTCTGTTACACTCAATATTTTCAGTGCATTTGAAAACTGAACACAGAAATTATTTAGTGTTAGACTTCCATTATAATGTAGTGCATCCCCTTTCTTTTAAAAATATATTTGAAATATGCAGAGTCGTCTCTACTTCTTTACTAATTAAAGTTTTCATGAAAAATGCCTGATAGTTTTCTGTAGCGTACAATATTATGGCTTCTAATATGCATATATATTGAAGTTCCATGACATGACCCAGTTATCGTACGAGTTAACTTGTCTCTTTGTTTACATTTAACAACAAAAGCGTCTTTGACAACACTATGTAATGTAGAAACACGTGAAAGATTTAACGTTGACAGGTACGATTATTTACTTCTTCTGGTTTACAACATTTTTTAATGTTAATGTCACATCTTTAGGAAAAGGGTATTTATCTTAATCATGGCTAATGCTTATCACATGCCCGTGCCTGGTGAACAGGTGAACAATGTGATCCTATATTTCGCAATACTTTTAAATATCTGATAGGTAGGCCATTCATTCATGTGATATGTATTTGTATTGTTTCAAATAAATTTGTCTGAGTGAATGGTGTATACATTTATTTTATATTATAGAAGAATTAAAGGAATCTAGCATTTTAGTTGTAAGATCGAATTAATGTACATTCAATATATGCAGTTTTGTGATATTGGCCATTCATGTGGCACAACAAAATCTGCCCCTCGATAGAAAATTAAAGTTTCGAATCTTTGATAAAATTCACTGATTCTTAGATACATGTGTAGAAGTACGTGTACATTAATTAAAATTGTGGTCGTTCCCAGAATAGATAACGATAGACACACCTTGATTTAATAAATATATTTTAGACATAAATAATTCTACATAATTGTTGATAAATATGCTTAGTTCCTTAGGAGAATAATTTTCCTACATGCAGACTGTAATACATGTACAATTGAATCCAATTTTAAACAAAGTGAAAACCAAACTTAGTGTATCGTCTGTTCCATGTTTATCGTCGTGTACCCTGCTTTGTTTTCAAAACTGGTATAAGATTTTTTAACTAATGAAAAAAATAAATTGAAATTTAAATATGCATTCTACAATCGATTGAATGAAATATAGTTTTTGAAAGATTTGGTTCTTTATGGTATATTGGTACTCCTTTTTGCTACGTAAAATTTTCATACAATTAGTGATTTTATTTACAGTCTGCATTTCCGATTAACATAACCTAAGTCTAAAAAATATATATTTCAAGCAAATTAATGATAATACGAAAACACAAAACTTTTTTTCTGCCACTACCCCGAGTCCAACAGGTCGGAGAGAATACTCGAAATCGGGTATTATCCCTGAAATCGCGTATAATACTCGATATTAGGGTATCGTTGAATCCGCGAAATCGGGTATAGGAGGTGTAATCACCTAATAAAACTTAAAGAATGGAATGGCGCATGTTGCCAAGTTAACTTTCATCTAGATACACATGTTTTCTAAAGATATCACTAGCCAAGTAAGAATTTGGACGTCAAGATTAATGCGCTCGGGACAACAAATACCCGTGGAGTTCAGTACATTTTATGATCTGCACACAAAAAGGCGTTCGATTTGCTTTATATTTTTCCTTATGTTGAAAGTATAAGCACCTTCCTAATGTTCATTACCAACACAACAGAATTGTAAAGTATCAGAATTCGGGAATTCATAATAATTCCACATCAACACGACAAACATGAACAATTTGTAAATAAATCAAATTATACGGAAACACATTTCACACACCAGATATGATGCCATGTATAAAGAAGGGATTGTCTATCGTATCTAATTATGCGTCATTAATTACTTTCACATTCATTTTGTGCATAAAATCAAATTTATTTTTGAATGTATAAAAAATGTAATGATAAAAATGTCTAAAATTTCGGCAAAAAGAACCTCTCTCTTTTTTTGAAAATCTTTTTTTTTTATTTATCATTCAAACATATTTGCAGAATATGTCTTCAAAATTTTAGCAGAGACAGTGATAGTTTCAGAGATACAGCTTATGAGAGAACATATATAACTGTTGATCGTTTAATTTCCCTAAGTCATCAATATTTTACCATTTCTCGGCGACTTCAAGGGGGGGGGGGTGCTAAAGGCTTCTTGACCACCTCTGACAAAACAACCTCGACTGTGTTCTATATGTGTCTACGAGACCTCTCTTTGAATGTCACGGTCGGTTAACTCGGTCATATATTTTTAATCGTAGGGAAGATTTATTCATCAAATAAAAATCATACATTGTAGGTAAACAAAAAGCAACCTGTTATTTTCTAACACAACATAAGACTACAAGTAACTAGAATTCATGTTTATTTTTTAAAATATTTTTTCATTATAGATGAGTATAAGGAAAAGTTATTGCCATGAGTAATACATATCATAGATAAAAAAAACTAAAAGAAAACTGTGACATATTGTCTGGAACCAATCAGAGTGCGTTGTATTATCATATTATAATGAGGCATAAGATATAGCGATATAAAAAAAAAATATAGAAGGTAAAGAGGTAAAATTTACCATGTCTATCAAATAGTATAATAAAGAAAGGAAGTGGCTACGATTTTTATGAAATTTTAATGTCCGATGAGGAATTATATTCCCAAAAAGTAAGACAAGAGTTTCCAAGGCAATTGAACACTCCATTATTTCAGTTTGTTCATTAACATGTTCATAAACGTAAAAACTGTAAGAAATGTGAAAATTTGACTATGTAATTCATATTTCAATATGACTGTACCTCGATCTATATTGAGAAATTCAATGTATTTTAACTACATGAAAAGATGAACACATTTGACTTTTATTTATAACCCCCCCCCCCCAAAAAAAAAAACAAACAAACAAGAAAATCCTGTTCATATGACTTCTCGCTCTCAATTTTCACACAAATGCATAAAATAAAAGTAAAATAGTATATTTTGTACCGATTAAAATGCAACCAAAAATTTACGGTGTCTTTGAATAAAATTTCATGCTAAATTGGCATAAAAAAAGATACTCAGCTTCAATTAGCTATTTTCAAACTGTTGACCCGTGGGTTTTTATTTCATCTTATTTTATTTTCTTCTTTATAATAACGTTGGTATTATTGCAGAGATATACAATTATGACTCGCTTATACTGTACTCTCTAACTGTTACGAGTAATTTATATTTCACGAGAAAGGGACGCCATACATTTTTCAGTAAAAATACATAACACGGCGTTAGTCGTTTAATTTCTTTAAAATTTCACGTTTTGTGAATAGTGCACAAATTAAAAAATAAAGTATATGGAATACTTTAATGGGAAATAAAGACAAACGAAGTGTAGTTATTTGTTTTTAGAAATTATATTGAAAAATAATAACGCCATTGTGTCCTCTTTGTTACCCCAGCAGTGTTTGTCGTGTGATTTTAAACTTATTTGACAACCTTATGAATTAGGTTTAATAAAAATAAATCCACAAGATACTGATGTACAAGTAATAGTTACTGGCATAATGCGCCGTTGCTTTATTCTTTTGTTTTTATAGAAAGTTGCACGGAATACCCGATTTCGCGGATTAATATCGAGTATTATACGCGATTTCAGGGATAATACCCGATTTCGAGTATTCTCTCCGACCTGACCAAAAGGAGAATTTTTTTTATCGATGTACTGGTATATTATTGTGTTATTTCACATTATGCTCCCGACTGATATGAAGTTCCGAATTAAATTCGATACAATTCACTGAACGTAACATGCATAGATACTGTACTTGTTCATAAAGATTAGGTTTAGATCTACTTTCGATTTAATTAAATATATTTTAAAAGATTGCACTTAATGGTGTATTGGTACAGTGACTCCTTTTAGATATGTATACTTTTCACACAGTGATTTTCTCTGCACATACAGTTAACAATTCCGAGTACCATAAAGTAAGCCTAAAAATATTTGAAGCAAATGTTATTATTGATTTATAATAATACGGAAGCACAAAACATTTTTCTGCTACTAGCCCGAGTCAAAGAGGAGAACTATTTTACATTCTTTAGCCGACTAGACTGTGGTATGGGAACAACCTTGAATGCTTCTAGGTTGGGTTACTTAGTACTTTGACATAAATTTAAGAAGAAAAAAAACCCGAATCAAACCAACTTTCAAATAATTTAAAAACTGTAATAAAAATTAAGATAATCATAAATTGAAATAAAATACGTGAAAAGAGAATGCAATTTTCCCCCTGCAACTTGAAGGTTCTTGATGATGGAGAATTCAAGTTTAATTACTTTCACTTCCTTTTTTTCCTTTAAATTAAGGATGTCAAAACAACCCATAACAATACAAGATTCCATCACGGTGGAGACAACCTTCGGGGAACACGTCATAGAGCTGTGTTATGGCGACATTACAGAACTTCCGGTGGAGGAGAAGATGGACATCGTCATGGTTTCCGCTTTTATTGGTAGGTTAGATGTCGCTAATCATAATTATAGCAGGATGGGTTAAGGCGATGATTTATTGTGTATTAATTATATATTTAATTGATTTGATTCCGAGGTGAGGCTGACGAATTTTGAAAATAATAATTTTTCCACTGAAATATTAATAAGCATTTATCATATCAGTCTTTGATTTAGTACACTCTTCTTCCTTGAAAATTGCGTTATGGCTTTTGACAATTTTCTCATAACTTAATTTACTGAAATTATCTGCTTCAGAAAAAAATGCAATTCAACGTCTACTGCTATTTATTATTGCATTAAGTTGACATTCTCCACCGCTAACGCTATATTACCGTTAAATTAAGCTGTTGAAGACACAACAGTTTCTAGACGCAATAATTTATAAATTTTCATAATTATGACATTTTAGCGTTGTATTACAACGCTTAATGATATTTGTATTATCTACCCGTATTTTATCAGCGGTTGCTGCAGACTCAAGTTTTTAATTAAAATAACATTGTCTGAATTCATTTTCGTTATTTTTACGAAACAGAAATGGCCGTAATGTTTTATGATACTCTAAGCTTTTCATAACAATGTGTTAAATTTTAAGAAAAACATGTATTGTAGGCGACTATTCCCCGGTGCATAGAACTTTAATAGGAGCACTCCATCACAATCTGGATATATCCGTGCGTGAACTGGCCAGAGACAAAGACATGGACCTCCGTGTTCACTACTCGTGCTGGATTTCCAAACCTTTACCCACGGGCAAACCATTTGGTCGGGTGTTGTGTTTTGAAAAGTAAGACTAGTATTAATGTTTTTTTTTGCTTTTTATGCGCCCGAATCGACAGATTCGAAACGTATATTGTTTTTGTACTGTCTGTCTGTTTGTCTATCTTTATGTTTGCCTGTTTGTCTGTCTGCTGTCAACTTTAACCTTCGCCATAACTTTTGAACCGTGAAAGATACATACTTCATGTTTGGTATGCTCACTCCACTAATTAAGCACTTTCAACTGACACCAAGGTCAAAGACCTTATGACCTTGACTGTTACAAATGTGCTAAATATAGCTTTTTCGAACTTTGATATTACTTTTTAACCTTAAGAGAGAGAGACTTCATATGTGGTTTGCCTACTTCGATAATTATGTTCTTCCAAAATACGCCAAGGTCAACATGTAGACTGTGACCTATATGCTAAAATAGCTATTCGATCTTTCGCAATAACTTTTGAACCATAGGAGATAGAAACTTCATATTTGGAATGCATACTCTACTAATTAAGTTCTTTCATATACCAACAAGGTCAATATTCTTGTGACCTTGACTGTAGCCTTTATGCTAAAAATAGCTTTTTCGAACTTTCGCCATAACTTTAAACCATGGGAGATAGAGACTTCATGTTTGGTATGCATAATCTACTAATTAAGTGCTTTCAAATGACACTAAGGAGAATGATTGTGTGACCTTGACTGTGACCTATATGCTAAAAATTGCTTTTTCGAACTTTTTGCCCTTGGGCGAATAATTATTCACAAACATATCTTGTTACTATTTAAAGAGCACTGTAGTTCAGAATAGTGTCATTATTACAATAATATTAATATTGGAAACTGTTCAGTTAAATGTTGACATCTTTAATAGATCAAAATTCATGCAGGTCACATTAAAAGGAGACTGTTCTCTGTATATGAGTGCAGTACGTTGCTTCTGGAAATCTCGTTTCAAATGAGTATATTAGACTTTTGCAATACTTCGTTACATGTAGTTCTTCGGTATTTTACAAAGCTTCTTCATGAAAACTGATGCAAAATAAAAACCTTTCATCAAAAGGTAGAGAAAACTGCATGTTATAAGGAGAAAATACAGTATCCAAAATTGCTTATACATGTACATCAGTGTATATATAATCATAAAAATGGAATAAAATCAATCATTTAAAAAGTTCTTAATTGTGTCGGCGTTGATTTGTATGTCATTTTTTTTCATTTGTTATTGTAGAACCAGGGGTAGCAGTGATGATTCACTCACTCGACAAATCAGAGACATGTTCAAAGTTTTGGTCCCGGTCCTAAAAAACCAGAGCACGACAATCATTACACCTCTTCTTGCGACAGGATGCCAGGTGAACTATTTTTAAGGGTTTTGGTCAAAAGGAGAGTATAACTGTGATATAATTCATGTTTATTATCTTACAGTTAATAACCAAAGAAAATAACGTTCACACGATACGAAATTTCAATTGCACATTATATCTTGCAAAATACAAAAAATGGTATCAATATCACGAAGACCTCGACAAATTGTATGATTCATTGATTGATTTGCAATAATATTAACATTTATTTGTTTGACCTTAATAACATGCATTATAAAATTACAAGTGATAAATACAAATAACACACAAGACCCAATCACCAAAGTCTGTTGGCGTATGAATACAAAGACTACGCCGCTACTGTTTAAACAAAGCGAATGATTTATGTCTGTTATACGATTCATTTGTATTTTATTGTTGGAAAAATATAGTTTATCATTTTAGATTGAAAAAATAAATAAAATTTGATTATTGTTAACTGTCATCATTGTGAACTTTTTTGTTTCCTGACTAAAGCTGTTCCAAAGGATGTTCTATTAATTACAACTGAAGGATAGGGAAGGAATATTAAATAGAAAAATCTTTATTGCGAAAAATACAGGGTATAAAAATGTAAATATAAGCATTGAATTATCATTTCTTGAAAAATGCAGTCTTATAACCGTAATAGTGTGTGCAACAAACTTTCATAAGGCGCTAACGCGCGTTATTCAATTGTTAGCGCACACCATTGCAGTGACTGCATATTTAAAAAAAAAGATAATTCAATGCTTAAATGAGTGAAATTTCAATACAATGTTATTTATGCAGCGCTCAGACAAGAATATAGTACTAGATGCGACAGTTCAGGGGGCCATCAGTTGGATCCAGGCGGGACTTCCACTGAAAAAGTTAAAAATAATCGTGTTTGGCGGGAAAGATGATGGTCTCAACAAGTGTTTCTCTAGTTTAAAAGAAAAACATTTGAAGGCGAATAGAAAACAGGTTCGTCTTTTTATTTTTTTTTTCTGTTTTATTTAAAATATACAAAAAAGTGTGTTTGCAAGAGACCTTTGTAGTAAGGAATGGGTCATGTTATTAGATATTTGAATCTTTCAATGGAATTTTTCAATGTTTCTCAAAACTTCACTTTACTGGAGAACGACAGGGCCAAAGTAATTTATGATGTGAGCCTTATAATACACGGGCCTCTTTTCAAATATACACTATATGTACTTTTATCTGGATTTATACAGATATAATTTTTATCTACTTATTACATGTATGGATCTGACAATATATTTTATGTTAAATTTTGTTTTTTGTTTTCATTGTAGAAGAAGAATAATCCTTCTTATGATATATTTCTTGTTTACCAACCAAGTGATATTCCTTTGGTGAAAACCTTGTCCAAGAATCTTAGCAACCGGAATAAAGATTTAAATATATACTCTAACGCCACAAAGTTTAATGAAAAAGAAGTATGGCAGCAAGGAATCTTTGATCTTATGATGGGAAGTAAAAGGTTCGTGAGACGCAGAGGGGAAAAATAGATTTTATTACATTTACTTCCATGTCTTTTGCATATGCGGAACTACGGACCATGATCTTCATTGCGTTATGTACTAAAACAATCAAAGATTTGATCATGATTTTTCCTTAAGATTTATGTTTATATTCCTGATTGTTTTTTTTTCAATCTATCAACAGAATTGTCCCAGTACTGACCTGTAATTTCGTTCAGAGTGGAGAGTGTTTGGAGATGTTCAATATGGCGATCTGCTGTACACGTCGCCGTGGGAAGGATTTTCTGGTCCCGTTGTATTTCGAGACAATTCAGATTATTCCAGTCAGCATTAGTCTGGTTCAGTTTCTCGATTGCAGGTACATGAACATTATTTGCTGGGTGCCATAAGAGTCCTAAGAATTTTTACAACAAAAGTAAAATAATACCATTTTTACCATTATATCCTTTGATTTGGTGGTGGGAGAGAAGGGGAAGAGCTAAAGGTGAACACTGTTGCAGTGTTTACGGATTTTTATACAGCCAGAGATACATGTAATCCTGTTTAGTGAAATGAAAATTAAGTCTACCCCTAATACCTTTTTAAAAGTTTACCATCATTTACTTGCAGTTTCACAGTAAGAATAATTTTTGGCATTTTTTGTGAATTCATGCAGTACTTGATTTATAAGATTGTTTAAATTTGCAACGGTCTCTTTAATCATGGAACTTTAAAGTTACTAAGGCGTCCCTGTGTTTATTATTTGTCCAGTTAGGACAAAAATTTGTAATATGTCTGTTAATAATCTCTCCAAGACAAAACAAAATCTATGACTGGTTAAAAATAACCACTTGGTACATGTACATGTTACAGGGTGCGAAAAGAGGGTGATACCGCTGAAGGGAAAATGGAGGCCGCATGTGTTCAACTTATGTTAACAGAGCCAAAAGAGGAGGAAAAGGACGATAGCAAGAAAGAAGACCAATTCAAGGATGACGTCTTCATTTCATACGCCCACAAAAATCCCACTGAAGCGCATTCATTACTTGAGGAATTTGAAAAACAGTTTCCAGAACTTGATGTTTTCTTTGATAGACAGGATCTACAAGTCGGTAAGATCAGTATAAATGAGTATATCATCTGCATTTATATCTGTCTCTCTGTCTGAGGGGATTTAATCTTTAAAGTAAAGGAATTATTATTCATTAAACATGTTAAAGACTGCGTTTTTCTTATGACACAGGTGGTTTGTGGCAGAAGAGTCTATATTACTCCCTGGACTCGGTGAAATGTGTTATCGCCCTTGTATCACAGAGTTATCTGTCGTCTGTGGTTTGTCAAGAAGAATTCAATATCGCTTTGTATCGATGTCACAAAACGGTAAGTATTGAAATCAAAGGTGAAACAGCACCTGTGAAGTTAAACGCTTCATTTTACTCTATAGACACAAGCCTTCTCACGATAAGCTAACCAACGAAGATGTTTCAATAAATATGTTTTAACCATGTAGTGGAAATTCTCCTTGCGAATGCACTAACCTATCTACCTAGTCCTTGTTGCACCCGGAGGCACATAGGACAAGGGATTTCCATTCCTCTCTATTCTTTGCAATCTTCTTCACCTCTCCCCGGGTGAAATTTATCTCTTTAAGCTCTTTCTGCACTGTTCGCCTCCAAGTTGTTTTGGTCGGCCTTTCCTCCTCTTCCCTTCTGGGCTCCATCTAAGTGCTACTCTTGTGATGTCATTTGTGGGCTTTCCCAAGACATGGTCTATCCACCTCCATCTGTGTTTATAAGTCATGTCTGTTGTTTTGGCTGTTTCATACAAATTTTTGAAGGTTATTTTTTTTGCCAAATGTCTTCAAGATCTTTCTGAGGCACCTGTTATGAAAACTCGATAGCTTCTTTATGTCACTCTTAGTCATCCTCCAGCATTCAGAACCATACGTTAAGAAAGATAGTACACAGCTATGTCTGCTGATGCTGCTTGACTTCCATATATTCTTAAGCTTGACAAAGGATCATCTGGCTTTATCTAACCTTGATATTATGTCCTTGTCAGCTCCGCCACCAGATGTTACAACAACTCCTAGTTTCCTGAAAAGAGTCCACCTGATGCCTTTATTCTCGTCACTAATGGTTGATCGCATTACCCAGTCTAATGCTGCACGATGAACAATAGAGCTGACATCACACATCCTTGTCTCACTCCTGATTTAACAAGAAAACTTGTGTTTGATGAACTAGAAATAGAGCACTTAAATTCTGCATAGAATGCTTTTATTAGGTCAACTAGTTTAGATGATATACCGTAGTGCCTCAGGATTTTCCACAAACTGTCTCTGTGAATGCTATCAAAAGCTTTTTAAAAGTCAATGAAGTTTATGATGAGTTGTCTTTGCCATTCCTTGCACTGTTTTATCATGTTTCTTAGTACAAACACTTGGTCACAGGAGCTCTTTCCTTTTCCTTGTGACTGTACAAATTAGAATTACTACTACCTGTAAAGTCTTTCTTGGAATATAAAATGAATTTCGCCAATTGTCATTATTACATTGTTTAACTCAATTTGAAAGATATATGTGGAGATAACAAACAGTATATACATGTAAGTTCAAAAGTCCATTAAAATTATAAAATAGGAGCAGATAGATCAAATACGGACTTCAAAAACATCGATAAGAGGTTGGAAAAGATTCCATAGACGAGTATGCATCCCTTCCCGACAGATCACACCCGCCATGTGCAGCTTGTCATGATTGGGAAATTACAGAAACATCCACCGACAATTCAGCGTATAGCGCTAGCTATTGGCCTAACAATTATTAGTATGAAAAACGACAGTCAGAACTTTACTTCATGATAGATTATATTTGCTGACAGGGTCATTGTACCTTCGAACGTACGAAATAATAACTTTAAACGAGACTGATGATAATTTTTTTTGTCATAAATCATGCTCTTGTGTGTTAAATCGATTGAAAAGTTGACGATTAAAAAGTAAAAGCCATTACGTTTATCACATTAAGGATATACTATTAGGTAATTAAAGTTGCAAATACTGTTTTTCTGATATAGAATACTAAAATGATACCTTTTCAGCCAGGGGAAGTTCTTCTCTTTCTCGTTTGCATCGAGGATCTGCTGTCTGTTCCTGAAGTCTACTGTGAACATAAACTGATAGACGGTCGAGGAAACCAGTACAATAAACTGGTCCCAAATCTTGTCAAGGATGTAGCAGATTGGGTTCTAGAAAAGAAAAGGCCAAAGTATCTTCCTAATATATCAACAAAGGTAACTCTAATTAATCACAACAGAACATAATTTTACCTTTAATCTTTGGTCGGAGTTGAACTTGTATAGTAAAAAACGTTTATTTTCTTACACAGGCTTCTCAATATTTTGCAAAGCAGTCAGAAAATAGAAAAAAAGAAATTTACGACAATTACAACGTGAAAATAAATAGCATCGAGAGAAAAGTTCCTTATGATATGAAACCCCTAGACCAGTCATTATGTCACGTGGTGGTTAGTGTCAGTCAGAATGACCTCAGCTTGGCCACAAGTTTGTTGTTTCAGCTTCAGAAAATTAGTCCGGACATCAAGATAGTTCTTATCAGCGATAATACAGGAATGGACTTGAAGTGCTTACAGACAGCTCAAAAGATTGTTGTTTTCATATCAAAACAGTACCTAGAGTCAAAGCATCACTTGGAAGAACTTTTAATTGCAATCATCCGCCAGCGGAGTGATAAAGAGAGGAAGGTGTTATACGTCTGTCAGACCACAAAAGTAGAGAAACCGGCCTTTGCAAATTTATTACCAGTAGATGTGTGTTTGTGGGATGAGTTTTGGGAGAATATGTTCGAAGAATCAAGTAAAACAGTCAAGCTGGATATTATGGAATTGAGAGGGTCATTCTCGTACAAATCGCAAGACTTTGCAGCCATGACCAAATTAGCAGATGACATATTGCTTGAATTGGCAGGGTTTGTAATTAAAAAATTGATAATGAATTAGCAAGGGAAAAATCTTTTTGTCAAATAAAGTTTTTTGTACATACATTGATAAAAAACAAAATTTGTACCAACTCCTTTGATTTTATTCCAGATTATATTCTCATAACATGCTTGTACATATATTCTCGATTTTTTAACGTCAGTTCGATGGACTATATACTCTCTTTCATCAAGTTTCATAAGAAAACAACAGATTAAAATTGTAATTTAGCTATGGCAACTGATGATATGAATAGCGTAAACACTTTCATTTCAGTCACACACAGTCTAAACCATCACCAATCATTGCAAAAGCAAGGAAAGAAAACTCAGATGTGATGCTTGAATTGCAGAAGGTAAATACATGTCTGTCTCTCTGAAATACTGATTTATTTAATTTTATCAAATTCAATAATATTTAAAATTTTACAATTTCAAAATGTCTTTTTATGCAGTGCCTTTTAAAATTGGAACTTCCCTCCAAGAAACAGGGGACAAATTCATCAAATGCTGTTTCCAGATCCCCAAAAGAAAGCAGCTTGTCTAAAGAAAGAACAGAAAATGGCCCAGAACCTCCCACTTCAGAAGACAGCCAACCCAGTAAATCGAAAGAAAAGACTAATGACGAACCAAAATCAGAAACTCCCACTTCACAAAGTAACCAACTAAACCAGTCAGGATCAAATTCTAGATCTAAAAGTGCTCCGACAAACAATGGAAACAAATCTTCATCATGCAATATTCTCTAGACATTAAAATCATGTCAATTTCTCTCTCTCTCTCTCTCTCTCTCTCTCTCTCTCTGTGTGTGATTCCTTTTAATTTTTACAATTTTTATTATTTTTGTCATGATTAAAACTTCATAAATATGTTACATGTAATAACGATATGATACATGTGTATGTATGAATGTTGATTTTGAGATGTAATAAGAAGACAATGAAATGTATTTTCCTGTGTTAAGTACAATATATGGGCTAAAAGAAGCATTTTGTAAAGTAACACGGGTACCATGCACTTAGATAGTTTAAAATACTAGAAAACTGACCAGTCAGCAAGGGCCCCGCCATGGGGTAGATTTAATAGGGTGCAGCTTACGGAATGATTAAAAAATGTACGAAGAATAAGCAACAGCAACAGCAACTGTATTCTTAAAATTTCAAGATAATTCCTGAATATTCAAAAACCTGAAAATAATATCCTTGTACTTACATTAGGCAGTAAAGAACAACTTAATGTATATTTAAACAATTATGAAAAATTTGTGTTATATAAAATGCCAGCCTTGAATGAATGCAAATATCATGAAGGCTTGACCTTAACTTCAAACAAACAGCAGTTGCAGACAAAGGTTTTCATTAATCTTAAAGTGACAGAATAAAGAAAAGCCTACTTAATTTTCTGCAGCTGGCTAGATAATTAATCCCAAGGGATTAATTGTACCTCTCTCATCATTTTCTTCTAAAGTACAATAAGAACTTTTTCAGTATTAATGATAGAATGGGGTTTTTATACAACTATTCTAAAAATTAATAATATGCTTGAATTAACATAAAGTGAAAAAAGTAAATCAAAAAATGGTTCAAAAAATCTTCTTTAATCTATTTCTTGTTATTAGAATTCAATGAAATCATAACTATTTAACAAATATAAATTATAAAAAATTATAATATTTAAATCCACATTTCAGAGTGTTCATCTAAGAACAAACTTCATTTGCAGACAGAGGTGGTAATTCATCTCAATTTGACAGATAAAGATAATGCTCTGGATTTTCTTCAGGAGGAAAGCTAATTAATCTCAAGGGACTCATAGCAGCATTCAGTTTTATAATAGGAACATCTTCAGCAGTTATCTCTCTTTGCCAATGCTTTTGTATATAAAGTTAAGGAATCTACCCCACCACCCCAGCTCCAAACCAGGGGACATAGAGAACCAAACTTAGCATCAAAATATGTATTTCTGCCTACTGAACTATCATACCAAATTTGTACTTGATAGGGCAACCATAAAAAAAGTTGCCCATTCATTCTTATGCATAGTTAAGGAATCTACCCAACCACCCCAGCTCCAAACCAGAAGACATAGAGAACCAAACTTAACATCAAAATATGTATTTCTGCCTACTGAACTACCATACCAAATTTGATCTTGATTGGGCAACCATAAAAAAAGTTATTAGAAAAAAACAGAAAATTTGTGGACGGAAGAGTGACAGACGGACAGACAGACAGACAGACGGACGGACAGAGTGATTACTATAGGGCACCCGCAAATCCTTGCGGGGCCCTAATAATTGTATATTGCTCATTCTGTTGTTGTTATTATATTAAGATATTTAAATATGAAGTTTATTAAATAAAACACATGAAATACAGCATTGAAGTTTCTTGAACTAAAGATATGCATTACCAGCCACATTTAGTCTGGCACGTTAACAATTTGATACAAAAAATAAAGACTTTTCAAGCGTATTTAAACTGTTTAATGTTATAATAATTTTCCCTATTATGAATAACCAAAAAAAACGTGGGTTAAGAGTTTCCTTGCTGATTTCAACTTTGGCAATGTTCTGCAAGAATGAAATTCAACCGCCATAATTATATCAGAGAAAACACAACTCATGGTCGGGCAAATGTCCTTTTAGAATGAAAGATAATCAACATTTCCTTTTCAAGTTTAAATTTCTCTTTGGTGCATTTTACGTCAATATATATTATGACAAGTTATTTGCTCAAATAAACGAAGATATGGAATTTTATGTTTTGTGGGCGTGGCCCAAAGACGCATGGTGTGCGTCATTGTCTTATGCAACGTTACATTTTCTATCTGCTAAGAAAATCAATTGGATCATGCAGCGTCATCTGTCCCAAACAATTCCAAGAAATTTACAACTGCAAACACTTGAATTTCCATTTAATTGTTCCCTAAAACAGATGAGGTAGTGATCTCGCACACACATGGGACCTTCTGAAGACAGAATTCTAACTAGATGACAATTACAATGATTTTAATATAAATAATAATAGCGTCCTTTGCTATTGTCTTTTGCCATTTGTTCATCAGCGGTTATCAAATACACACAATTTTATCGAAAATGTCTAATATACAAAGATTCCTTACGATTTTTTGCAAGGAGTAAGCGTAAACTTAACTGCAGATCTACAACTTATTCTTTTTCTCTCAATACAAATGAAAAGAATATAAATAAAAAATAAATTACAATACAAATAAAACTTGTACAACCCAAAATGAAAAGATCAAATACTAGAACGCTAGGTAATGAACAAAACTAATCTTTGATTATATTAAATACCGCATCAATTAAAATATTAGTATTAATGCAATATAATTTATTTAATAATGCAAAACAACCTTCCAAAACAATATTTTTTCCCAGTCTTCTTCCCCAGTGATCTTTCCGACATTAATGTACACTGGTTCACTCTTTATGGGAAGAATTTTGATTATATATGTTTTAAAACTCGAGAATTTTTCACTCATATATAGAGAAAGATGTCGTCACATACCAGTGAAGGGCTTTACATTTAGACCTTTACTCGGCTTTAAGCAGTGAGGTTTTTTTTCATTGTGTAGTAAGAATTCTATCTTTCTTCAGAAGGTCCCCTGTGTCAGGCTGTGTGTACAGGTTTTGTATTTTTTCTGCAACAGCTGCAACATTAATTCCCATACTAACAACCAAAGAAAGCATTTTATTGTTTCAGGAAATGAAGCGAGTATGAGCAGCCAAATAAAAGCCCTCTCTACAATTCAACCTAATTCAATAAGTATTCAATAGTAAAAAAGAAATGCACTGATTTCATTACCTACTAGTATAGAAATTAATATGCATAAGACAAACTTCTTTTTTATACATTTTATTACAAAAGAAAAAAAGGCAACTTCAAAATACATGTACATGTAAATGCAAATTGGCAACTCATTCATACTTGACTCAAGCCAAATTTAGACTGACAACTCAGAATTTTACTTTATAGTCGTATCTAATTCATTATTTCGACACATATTAAGACAAGGGATATATTACCCAATTATGAGTGTACACTTTAAACTGTGTTCATAAATATCCAAAAAATAATATGAAGTTCGAAAATTTCGTGTAAATTAACGGACCACTGACAATATACGATATTAGAATTACTGCATCAGAAGTGCACCTGCTGCGTAACTGACCGACGAATCGCTGGTCTTCTTACATCGACTGGACTGGGCATAGTTTGTAAACTTGAAGGACATTCGGTGACCATTTCCATTTCTTCTTAGAACATCTATTGCCTGAAAACCAGTATATATATTTCATTAGATTGTAAATAATTTTTTTTTAATTCATTAAAGTCATTTTAATATTCATAATTTAAGGTTTATCAAGCAGCCTGCAGGTCGAACAAATTCAAATAAATGAATCAATATTTAAAAAAACTGAAATATGCTACGGTAAAAAGGCAGTGAAACTTACATTTAGTAGAACAACTATAGGGTATCTGCCACATATAGTGTTTTCATAATCTTTAAGATACTGAGAAAATTTAACAGGGTCCATTTGTTCTATTGCATTCATTCCCTGCAAATAAAGAACAAAACTGGGGAATAAGACACCAAGAAAATCAATCTGTTGTTCCACATTTTTTAGAACTTAGAACCAGGTACATTGAAATCAATTATTCAATAAAGCTTTATACAAAAATGGCATATAGATAAATACATGCATAATGTCAAGTCTCCATATATATAATATATATATAATTACAAATACTTTATCTTCTTGAAAATGATTCGCAAGTTTTCTTACCATTTTATCTAAGGCCTCAATGGATTGCCAGATTTCACCACAGGACTTGTCGTAGAATGTATAACGGAATCGTTGTCCCCAGTGACAGAAATCGGAGGATATCACAAACAAATTGGTGGGATCTGCAAGATACTGACTAAATATAGACCCATAGAGCTTCTCCTTGTCTGAGGACAGGGAACCAACCAAAACTGGTACCACCGTGAACTGCCCACGCTTCCTACAACAGGGTCACATGAAATTACATATAATATTCTTACGTAATACTGTAAACTAACTTTTATTTGCATGCGAGAAATTTTTGCGAGGTTCACGAGAGCTTTCATTGTCATCCCGAATATTAACATTGTGAACCGATCTTTAAAAGTCTCGGTATCTCTTAACAACTAATCCACAAAGGTTTGTTTCCAAATATTAATTGTCACGAAACATTTTACTCCCGGTAAATCGGGAAATAATGTCACTAATAAAAGTTTGTTTACAGTATTAGAATAAGGCTAAAAAAAATTTTTGCTGGTGTATTATTTTGATACATGGGGCACGTTCAACAGAGCAAGCACTTGCAAACATGTCTGTTGAAGGTAAAGGGAATTTTGGTGAGTGCTCGCTCTGTTGAACAGGCCCATACATGTGATATGTACCGGCGGTACAGGAAATGTCCCGTATTTTCGACCCCCATCACAGTGTCACAGGCGGTACAACAAAATTCACGGGAAATGAAAATGTGTACCGTATTTTGAAATGTTTACCGGAAACCGCCATTTTTCTTTTTTTCCCACTCTCGCAACACCGGAAATCTCGAAGTATGCGTGACTTACTGCCCTTGATTAATGTAAACAAAACAGCATGAACGAAGGTGTGAAATATTCCCGCGATAATTACATCGTAATTAGGAGATATCAAAGCGTTTTGTTTGGCTGATTACTTTTTAATAGGACAGGTTTATCAAGGATTCTTTTAAACTGTAATTTATTAAAAGTAAAGACATTTCAAAGAAAACACCATTCACAAGAATCGGAGACACTTTGTGACAGCAAAACGAAAATTCGTCCATTATTTGATCAGGCATACTTATTGCCATACGTATTGTCTATTTAAACACAGATTAAGAGAAATGATTTTTAGTAACATTTTAATAATGCAGCTGAATGGAAACGACCAGATTCATACAATAAAGTGTTTTTAAACACTGTACTTTTTATTAAGTTCAGCATTTAGCATAGTTTTATGCCGAAATTCAAAATTCTTCAAGAGTTTCTTGAAATGAAAAAATAATTAAATCATAATACATGTTATGCAGTGGTGCACCTGAACATTGATTTGAAATTTATTATCAAAAAATAAACACCTTACATTGTTTTTTGGTCGATATTTTGTACCGTTTTTTTGGTTAGCAATGTACAGTATTTTCACCCAAATTCCAGTATTTTAAAGGCTGCTGTACAGTATCTGGGTCTAGAAATTATCACATGTATGCAGGCCTCTGGAGTTCTTCTATTCTTAATTTGGTTCTTCAGAAAAAATCAAGCAAGAAAACAAGGAATCCATACCTTTCCATAACCTTGGCAATGTAGGGTAACTGCATCTCTATACTGTGCTCATCTTCATCTGTGCCAATCTTCATTTTCTCAAAAGCATTTGTGGCATTTAATTCTTCATTTACTGTAGAAATTATGTAAAAAATCTTACATGCAAGATTCTTTTAATAATGAAAGAAAAAGTGAGCTAGCTCACATACCCCACGCTCCCCCAAAACTTGACGGTGAAACACATAATGAAAGGCACAGTGCACTTTAAATACATAGTATAGATCAAAAAGGGCAATAATTGCAAAAAAATCTTCACATCAAAATGTCTTGCATATGAGGACATTTAAATGTGGAATGAAGTTTCTAGATAAATAATGGAATCAAAATTTCTTGGCATTATACAAATCCAAACATTAATTTGAAGTGGTTGGGGGGGGGGGGAGAAATTTTCTTGAATAATAGGCAAAACTCTTTGGGATAAATGATGGAATGTGTCCTAAATATCTGCATAGGTTGACGAAACTATGTACAACGGTTTAAGACGAGTGGTGCTGACAAACTGTTCATCTCTATATTCAAAATATGGCCAAAAAGTCTAAGTTGGAAAGTGTGGAATTTCCTGGTAATATGCACATCAACATATTGTGTCCTAAATATCTGCAAAGTTTGACGAAATTCTGTGCAGCGGTTTATGAGGAGTTGCGCTGACAAACTGTTAATCTCTATATTCAAGGTATGGCCAAATGCCCAAGTTAAAAAGTGCAGAAATTCCCGGAAAAAATAACGGAATCGGAATTTCCTGGTAATATACACAAATACACATTGTGTCCTAAATACCTGCAAAGTTTGACGAAATTCTGTGCAGCGGTTTATGAGGAGTTGCGCTGACAAACTGTTCATTTCTATATTCAAGGTATGGCCAAATGTCTAAGTTAAAAAGTGCGGAAATTCCCGGAAAAAATAATGGAATCGGAATTTCCTGGTAATATGCACATCTACACATTGTGTACTAAATACCTGCAAAGTTTGACGAAATTCTGTGCAGCGGTTTATGAGGAGTTGCACTGACAAACTGTTCATCTCTGTATTCAAGGTATTGCCAAATGCCTAAGTTAAAAAGTGCAGAAATTCCCGGAAAAAATAATGGAATCGGAATTTCCTGGTAATATGCACATCTACACATTGTGTCCTAAATACCTGCAAAGTTTGTGCAGTGGTTTATGAGGAGTTGCGCTGACAAAAAAAAGGACTGAGTGACTGACTGACGGACTGACTGACGGACGGGTCAAAAACATTATACCTCCCGCAACTAGTTGCGTGGGGTATAATTAAATTAATGCCAATCTGTACAATATGCACAAGTTTTAAAATGATATACTGTTTTTCATAATGTGTACATATAAAACATATTAATGTGGCAAAATATTTCCATGTATACAGTATTCATGAATTCAACATTTTTGTTTTGATGTTCACACTTACTTTTTTGGTCTATAATTAGATCATACAGAGGGGTCTGGTATGTGGAAGTTTCGGTGAGGGCACAACCAGACAGACGGACATGGTGGGAGGGTCCTAGAACAAACACTCTCTTTCTGAAAGTACAAAATAAAACTCACCATAAATATAATTTATGTAATGGATAAAAATTAGAATTAAAATTAGAAAACAAGGTTTTATGCTTTAAAATTACCCATACTTTGTGTTAATCCTTTCTATTTGAAATATAAAACCAAACATTTTTATCCATCAATAAAATAAAACTTTCTATAGATAAAATTTACTCACATGTTGATTGCATTCTACAGTTGGATTACTTACATGCAGGGATGGGGTCAATTACATAGGAAAGTAATTAATTAAATTACAATTACTTTCCCAAAACCTTCAATTAAATTACCATTACCATTACATGGATTTTGAAATGTAATTAATTAAATTACAATTACTTTGCAAATGTAATTAATTAAATTACAAATTACATTCAAGAATACACGTATAAAAGTAAATAGTCATGTATATTCCTTTGCATTTATAACAGATTATTTTATAACATTTTTTACAATAATATTAAAAGCTTCATGTATTTTTCAAATACTGTGTCCCCTAACCTAATATATCTTCTATTAATTTGAAGATTTTCCTGCCATGCTGAAGATTCTTTCCACTGGGGTATTTGTGAGAAAAATGCATACATGTAGATACTGACTAGTAGAAAGTTTACAGATGGTTTTACCTTAATTCATGTGTTTAAATTTTGGAATCATTTTTTAGTTTTCCCATAAACAAATGAAAAATTTATGCTAAATGTACTTTTGATGCTTTAATCTGCCTTTATATTTCCTTATTTCAGCATCATAGGTTTACCTCAAAATGTGGGTATTTGACTTATCAATTTATTTTGGCCAAACTACAATTTAAAGTCAAAGAGTATGTATAAAAACACCAACAGACAAAGTCAAAGATGTGAAAAATGTTTATTTAGGAATAAGTATATGACCCCAAGACACTAACTAGCACTTGTTAATAACTTCCTACACAAGCTGAAGATTTGGCCAACAAAAGGATTAGAAGCCACTGGACTTCTTATTTTCATATGGATTAATTAATTAAAAAATCAAAATATGAATTTTATTTGTAAACTTTACAAAGATTAATTTGATTTAAAAGTTTTTTTTAAATGAAAAGGGGCATTGTATTTAAACAACAATTGACATAAAAAGGGAAGTTCTTTTCAAGAAATTTTATTATTAAAATTTTTGGTCCAAAATATAAGTTATTAACCTTTTATAAATATTAAATAATGTTAATGAAATTGAGGGAGAGGAGACTATTTTTCATTCATTTAAAACCAGTGTAATTGAACGTAATTGAAAAGTAATTGTGAATTACATGCCTTTTTGGAAAGTAATTAATTAAATTACCATTACTTGTAATTGAAAATTCGGTCAATTACACATGACTTTCAACATGTTCAATTACATCAAAATTTGTAATTAATTACAGTCAATTACCATTACACATTACCATTACCCCATCCCTGCTTACATGTTGGTTGAATACCAGTTGGTTTATGCTTACGTGTGGTTTATTAACAACTAGTTTACTTACACATGTTGGTTGATTTACAATTGCTTTTTCCTTTAATGTGTTTGACAAACATTCAGTTAACTTACACGTTGGTTGGATCAATCTGTCCATAGGCATGACCACCACATGCTCCACAGTAATAGTAACCCGCATGGCTGAAAAATGACAGCAAATATTAAATATCAAAGACTCATAACACAAAATATAATTTTTTTCTTCCATATATTTCATGTAATTATTTACATTGTATAAAACCCCACATCAATATACAATGTATATCATCAGGGTTCGACACTAACATTTTTAGGCTTTGGTCCGGCCGGACTAGTGCTTCTTTACTTTTACTAGTCCACGGGCAATTTTATTAGTCCGTCAAATATAAAAATAAATAAATACAATTAATGTTGCAATGTACTTTTTATACTTTTTGAAATAAACAAAGCATTTACATGAAATGTTTATACCAAGAATTCGTTGAAATCGCTCAATCAGGAACTACGATCGTATTCCCGATCTCATTCGTTTTTCTCTATGCATAATTACATCATCTAAACATCCGACATCTTTTTTATGTGTCATACTAAATCATTTATCACTAAAATGTTTAATTTCATACCAATGAGTCCTAAAATTAAGCACCGAATTGACTCAGAATTACCTAACTTCCCGCCGAAAGCTAGAAAGCTAAAAATAAATATGGGGTTTTCCAGTGAAAATTGTCGAACATCGGTAATTTCTTTTTTCTCCCTAGAAAACTTTATTAGTCCGTTCGGACTAATTAGCTTCAATTTTTATTAGTCCGAATGGAAATGTATTAGTCTGAGACTAACGGACTAACGTTAATGTCGAACCCTGATCATATAGTTTCTGTTTTCATCATATTCAGAATCCCATGGTCAGTCATGCTTCTCTTACTTAAGAGAAAGAGAAGCGAGACCGACCGTGGGATTCCAACGATGTTTTTCATATGCTCTAGGAGATCCTCTCAACAGAATTAAGTTGAAAACCTTTTGGAGATCATAAAAAATGTGATAGCCAATCAATTGTCTTCTTCATTGTATATTAATGGTGATTTATCATTTTGGTAAATATTTTTTCTCTCATTTTTCACACTGCCAAGTCTTAACATGAAATATTTTGGTTTAGTAGTCAATGGTCCCAGTCTGTTAATTTACAATATCAAAGTCAATCGCTTTTCATCTAGAAAAATCTTACGGAGCAATAATGGCTCTTGCTGGAGAATAAGATGGGGTAGCTTTTGACAGCCACTCTTCCAACTGATTGCTCAGCTCCCTCCCTGAAAATAAACACAAAATTATAACCTGATATAATACAATACAATGTACATGAAGACCATGAATTATTAAACATTTTTAAAAATCAAGAAAATTAATTGTCATGGAAAATAAAGACATTTTGAAAATGTAGATTTGTCATCGCAATATTCAGGGCTTAAAAGCCATGTATAATGCATTCATTGCTCTCCACGCAAAACATTTACATTGCAAGAAAAATTATTAAATATGCATGAAAGAAAGCTGTTAGAAACTTCGCTTTAAGTAATGGAAATAAATTATAAAACTTACCATCATTTGTATACCAGCTCCCTGCATGGGTGGCCCGCCTTGTTTTTGACATATTAAACCCTATGGTTTTACAATCTGCTTATTAATTTTCCCCAATCTTGATTTCTTTTGTTTACGAATATTTAGCAAGAATTTTCAACATTAATAAAACGTATGCCGAGCCCGATGCCTTTAAATCAGAGAGATACATGCTTCGTACCCTAATATTAAATATGATCAAACACGAAGTACTTTCATGAAGATTAACGTGAAGAATTGAAACTTTTATGCATATTTTATTATACACTTTCAATATTAGTCAAAGGGTATGTGTGATTTCTTTTAAGTTGTTCCAATTATACCCCCCCCCCCCCGCCATCAGGGACCTGACGTTATTTATTTTTCTTTTAATAAAAAATATAACCCTACCTAATAATAAACATGTTTATTATTACGTGTAGATAAGGGTTTATTTTTCATTAAAAGAAAAATAAGTAGGAGCCTGCACCCCCCCTCCCCCCTCGATCCCCGAGGATTTTAAAGTGCTAAACTGGCCAAAATATATATATATATATATTTATTTTATTTCAACGAATAAAAGTATATTACCCCCTAAAAAATAAAAAAAAAAATAAGATGAAATACATTTTATAAGCTGTTTTAACGTAAATGTATTAAGGTGTTTCCACCCTCAATTTTTTTATCGTTCAAAGTACAAAAACTGCATTTGTTTTCAATTAATATTCTTTAAATTATTCAATTATTGCAAAAAATGTATAGGTCACCATATTATTTAAGATGCGACCACAGGAGTCTGAAGTTTTAATCGTCAAAAAAAAAAAAAAAAAAAAAAAAAAAAAATCCGGAAAAAAATTTCCTACCCTTAGATCTAACTAGTTAAGGGTAGGAAAAAAATTTTCCGGATTTTTTTTTTTTTTTTTTTTTTGACGATAAAAACTTCAGGCTCCTGTGGATGCGACACATAAATAAACAGAAGTGTATGTCAACGTACATTAAAAAATCACACAATTTTTGTAAACCGTATCATGAAAAATATGTAAAAACTGGTTAAAATGCATAATTCTGATGCTGAATGCTCCTATATACTTCCTACTTATAAGATACTTTTGAATTGTGAATATCAGGGAAACTATTTTACATTAGAAGTACAATGAAGCACGTGCCCGAATCAAGAGACATGAGGAGTTATTGCCATTATCAACATATTTTTAAAGATTGAATAATTGATTAAATAAAGAAAAGATGCATTTCTAAAATTCTTTTATTTAACAACATTTATCATTACACCTATTGTAAAGCATTCTTTCAAAAGATTTTGTTCTATTAGGTACGAATTTTAACTAATGACAATTTTGCCAAAAAAAAAAAAAAAAACCCTATGACATCATAGGAGGATGGGATTCCTTTAAAAACAACTCGCAGAAAACACACAATACAAACTGACGGCACATGAACATGTACAATGTATGCATATATATATAGGAAGTAACATCTTTGATTGTCATATTTTCTTAGCCAATTTATTTGATAAATTCATTCCGCACTAGAATATAAAAAAATCGCTTTAAAAAAGAATTTCCATGTTAGCGCTAGGAGAAAAAATGAAAAAAAAGTAGCTCTGTCAATGTAAAAAAAGGGTATTGAAACCTTTGATGTTTCCATGTTTAAACTATATAATACTTTGCAGAAACTATTTTGTTATGTATTTTCTTGTTGTTTTATTCCCTCAACAATTGCAATAAATTAAAAACGTAAAACGTACTCGCAAAACAGCAAAACCAACTATATAATTTTTTCGATTTTTTTTTTTAAAGGAATGGTGTTTTATTGGGGGGGGGGGGTCGTCAATTTTTTTCTACGATACTTTTCTCGTGTCTCATCAATAATTCACCCCCTTTCTCTCTCATTGAAAAATGACGTCATATGCCTTAAATTTGACAATCAGCTCTCGTTAGATATTCATTTAAATGCACATTCTTGGTTCACCGATCCAACCTTTGAAAACAAGGTAGATCAGTACCAATATATTGATCTCTTTAAATTCTTTCGCAGTGAAGCAAGGCTTTAAACCTCATAAACATATTGATTTGTTCATCGGGTACACATGGTTAAGTTTGCTCTAAATATATACGTTCATAGCACCGAAGAGGAATGACGAATTAGGGAAAGTTTACACAAACATAGATAGTTGAAGTACATCATGTGTGATTTGGAGGAGAAGCAAAAAAACACTAGTTAGAAACGAATATTCGTCAACCGTTCTGAAGTGAAGAACGCTACAATGAAATCCCGAGTTGGGAGGTAGGTTAATTCTTCAGTATATTTTGAGAGAAGATTGAAAGAAAGTCGAAATATCGGACTGTCCTTTTAATGTTATTTGAACTTATTTCAGTTACATGTATAAAAATGTGATTATAGCTTGTTTCGATTTGATAGAGTTTGTTACTTAAGATCTCGAAAGGAAATGAATCGATACATAATGAAACTAGATTTTTAATTAAAGTGTATCATTGTGCTAATTTATTACGTTCTACGGGTAATTCGAATTCAGAAAAAATGGGGAGGGGTTGTACGAATTTTGTACTTTGTTATATTTATAGTATACCTAGCTCAAACTATTAAATGCTTGGAATTTTCCAGTGCTGCAATAGGAGAGGCAACGGAAAATCCGAAAGAGATAGCTCCTATAGTTAAAGAGGGATACCTGTGGAAAAGAGGTGAGAAATTGGGACACAACTTCGAAGGCTCACATAAGGGGCAGGGGCTGATTTGGCCATATTTGTTAATGAAAGTGGAATATTCTACAATTTAAATGACATTAACCGTATAGACTTGTCATGAACACTAAGAAATGTTGACTATAATAACTTGAAACAAAGAATCTATAATTTTTTTTTAAATATATCAATAATATTGCCTCTATTTAAAATGATTATCTTTGATGTTGCAGGTGAATTTATTCGTAACTGGCGTGAGCGTTACTATATCCTACGAGCTGATGGCACGTTTTCCGGATACAAGTCTCGAGAGGAGAGTTTAATTAAAGGAGACATCCAGAACGACTTTAAGTTGCAAGGTTTGATCCCCACTTGGTGTTTATGTGTATCCTCCATCAGGTTCCTATAAAGACTGTGATACATATTAAATCATGTATATTATTCTTTAACAGAACAATCAAAGAAACATATTCAAGAACGAGACTATTTCATAAACTTTATATTTTTCATTGCTTTATTTTTCAGTTTGTTTGTTGATTAAAAAATATAATGATATTGATTGTTTTTTATTTCGATAGAGGATGTTACCATAATACAGCAAGAAAAACCGAAGCCTAACACGTTCATTGTTCACGGGGTGATCCTGAGGGGTGGACCAGTGGACAGGATGTACTATACGGACACCCCCGAGGATAAGGCATTGTGGGTAACAGCCATCCAGGGGGTGGTGGAGGCAACAGCGGTAAATGATTACTTTGATTTTCATTGTAATATTAAGTATATTAATAAACTGCGATGTATATTGTCGTATTCAAGGGGATTTTATACCTATGATCATCATGATTGATAGCTATAAATTAATGCAAAAAATTAACTACCAGTAAGTTGATATTTGATTGGGCTATTTGCCCTCTGTAATATTTAATTTACATATATTAGGGACTAAGTTAACTATTTAATCATATTTGCCTCATATTTAAATTATACCAGGATCTTTAGATTTTCTATAGAAAATTATATCAAATTCAAATAACTGACCATTGAATATGTTTGTGATTTATGTGATCATGATTACCTGTGTTTTAAATACATGTACATATATTTCATTGTGAAATATTTACATCCACTGAATATTTTTTCTCCTTTATTTCTTAAGAAACCCCATTGCGTTCATCACTGCATAAACTACAGTAGGCAGGTCGCCTGTACATATTTCTTAATCAGTGGCTGTTCCATCAATGAAACGTATAAAGACGTTCGCATCATTAATACAAGAATTAATCTTTTTAATCCTACTTTAATTGATTATTTAAACAGATATAAATATAAACAATAAAATGCTTTCTTTGTTTGTTGTTACTGGAATGAACGGTCGCAGCTATTGCAGAAAAAATTAACATAACCCGCTTACGCGGGTTATGTATTTTTTCTGCAACAGCTGCTTCCGTTCATTCCAGTAACAACAAACAAAGAAAGCATTTTATTGTTTAAATAACTTTTAATTGCAAGAAGAGATGAAATCTCATTAACAGTTTATTTAGAATACAAGGTGGCACTTCAGAAACATAAAGTGCAATGTCAAAATTTATAGACAGGGGACTGGAAGTCTTGTTTAAAACAAGTAGAAGATAAAGAGATGAGGATGTATGACGTCTCCCTGCTGTACTCCCGGGATAAAAATAAACAACCTTTGCCCCCAGACCTTCAGGTCAGACCTCTTCAGCTGTCAGATTTTGACAGAGGTAAGGTGATAAATAAAGCTTTGAAGATATGAAAGTTTTTAGGGAAAGGAATGTACTCCTAGATTAACTTCACAAGCAGTATTTACAGAATTTGACTTGCAGTTGCATTGAATGCAATCACATTCTATTACTTTTTTTTTACTTCAGGTTTCCTTGAACTTATATCTCAAGGAGGCAATATAGGAAATATCTCTAAACCTGAGTTTACTAGTAAGTGTTCTGCTGCACATGCTTTGCAATATAACAGAATCTTTTTTTTTTTCTCTTCTCATTTAATCTTAAAGTAGAGAGTTTTGTAAACTGATATAGTTACTGGAGTATCTGAGTATCTATTAGTAACAAATATGCATTTTTGAAATTTCTTCAAAGAAGCTTTTAAAGGGACATGAAGACATTTTAAACTGAATTTAATTTTTAAACCAATTTTAATGTTTTTAATTCCTTACGAAGGCATCTTTTAGTGATCAGCGAAAATTTGAACATCATTTTTTGATGAACAAACGAGATACAGAACTTAATGTTCTTCATAACGTAAACAAGACTCGTGCCTTGTTTATGTTTACATAAAGAAAATATCATATTTATAATGAAATGAAATGCAGCAAATCACTAGAAACTGTCTAATCGTATTAAGAATTAACTTTTTATTGAAAATCTGCTTTGGACGAACATATATTATTATATTTTATAAACATAAGTAAACAAAAACATGAAAAGGACCATGTTTACATAACATAAGGTTTGGGGCTCTAAATCTGTCTTGTATCTTGACAACTGAAGTTAAATTTTAGATGATTATTAGAAAGACTTTAGTTAAATATTTGTGAAAATGGAAAGTTTTTAGCTGAAACTATGTCAATGTCCCTTTAAAACAATGCATCACATGCAAAATGCATACTCTCTAATTAGAAATCTAAAATACTTGAGTTACATATATATTAAGGTTCATAGCTTTGTAGCCTTCAACTGCTTTAAATTAGATCAAAAATTTATTTTCAGGCCAATTTCATGCCATGAAATCATCGCCAGATAATTACTATGTAACAGTCATTGAAGACACATCAACAAATAGGGTGATTTCTTCGGCAACTCTAGTAACAGAATTACAATTCAACCACAGTTGTCCAAAGGTAAAACACAATCTAGTCGCTGATCTTTTTAAGTTTTATTTCAGGGAAATGTCCACATACACTTATTAAAGACTTTGTTTTCCTGCAGGTTGGATGGATTAAAGATATTGTCATTGATCGAGATCAGGCAGACCAACAGCAGCTGAGTGACACGTAAGCCGCCTCTTAAAGCAAAAAAAAAGTCTAGCTGCTGAAATCAAAGATGTTTAGGCTGGAAAAGATTTTTTCAATAAATATCCTCCCAATGTCAACTTGAAAGTTTTGTGATTTTGGAAATCTGAAATCACAAAACCTTGAGGATGTTGAATAAATGGAACTATTCTTTTTGAGGACAATTTTCTAGCCTTTTATAATTATAATCAAAGATAATGAGATACACCATAAAGGGAAAAATTTATTTTTATTATAAGAAATTAACAATTATTGTTATTGATGAAAATATCATATTGTAACCTAGAGGACATTTGATTGATAGTAAAGGTATATCCAGGATCATTTTGAGCTAGGTCATGGGTATGCATACTTAATAAAACTATTAAAACATCTTACTCAGAAATGTTCTCACAAGAAAGACAATATTCTTAAAATAGTAAGAATTTTGACCACTTTGAATATTCAACAGAAATACTTTAAATATACATACCAGTTTCATCTTGAGCTTATAATATTTATAATTACTGCATCTTTTAATTGACAGACTTCTGAACAGTGTGAAGCAGTTGGGAGAAAAAATTGGTTGTCATCAAATCGAGACCATCAGTATATCACATTAATAACAGTCATGATGGAGACGTGTAGGCGAGATATGAAGAAGACATTTTAGTGCAATTCTCAATTCAATGTTGCCATTTTTTAATGATAGTTGTTATTATTTTATCACACATCATACATGTTATATTTTGTTATATTTTACAATATTTTGATAAAAAAAAAACTTATGAGCACTGAACATTGTGTTTCATTTTCATCGTTGATTTAACATGACTAAAGTATGTTTTTAAAAATTGCATTTGAAGTGAATCAGAATGAAAAATGGGACATGTTGATTATGCTTGCTGGTGTCAGCACAATATATAATTTCATTTGATTTCAATTACATTTGTTCAACAAATGAGAAGCATTGAAATGAAACATACGGAGATAGCGAACAGTATTCAAAATTAAAACTCCATAAAACAATGCAAAACAGGAGCAGAACAAACAGTCAAACACAGTTCCCCAAACCATCAGAGTTAAGATCAGGTGCCACAGAAAAGTGAGTTTTTTTTTTCAGATGAATGAAATGTTGCAACTCAAGCTCAGCAATACATAGTAAGATTATGTTAATATACTAATCATAAATATATTGCATTTTCTTCATGTTTTCTCCATGTTCTTAACTGCAATAAAGTTATATAGCTACTTACAAATCCATCAATACGACGTACATACAATACTACAACAATACTTAATCGTCATGTCTCTACAAAACATCCTCTTGGCTGCATAGGAATAATAAAGTCGTATGTGTATCATTTTAATAAATTAAAAAATAGCTTATATATAACATTTTGGATTGAAGAAGAACTCCATATAAAAATATGATAAAATGATCAAAATCTAAAACTAAAATTTATGAAATTTTTCTTTGCCATCATGATAAAATAAAATAAAAATACAATTAAAGGAGATTCAATTATCTTAGAGACTGTAATCTTGAAATACTTAGTGGTGAATTGTATTGCAGATCCGTAGACTCAATGAACAGTAAATTGTCTAGATGTAATTAAAATATCGCAAAATCTCCCATATTAAGCGTTAAAATGTAAGAAATTACAAATTAACGATTGTTCCAAATTTGTTCATATATTTTAGCAATATTAAAATAAAAGTGATGAAAAAGTTTAATTATTAATGAATGCTGCCGGTCACGAAAATGTGTGACAATATGATACTTATAACTGATTTTAAAGTAATCAAGTCTGTCAACTTGCGCTGGAGTATCACGCTCTATAGAAAAATTATTTCTTTTGTCATGTCAATCTGAAGTAAACATTTAACTTACATTAGCGTTTATAAAAACTGTGATCTTTTCTACAATGTCCATATAGATATCATTCTTGTATGGTTATAACTTGTAATGTTAATTTGAAATACTGCAGAGCAAATTAAAAACGACAGAAATAATGGTTTTTTTGCAATAATAACAAAATGATAGATGTAAAAAAAACCTGAATTTAAATCCCTCCTTCTAGGACCGGAAGTAAAAAAAGGTGCACAGGTGTGTGTCACGTTGTCTAGCTAGATATTCAAACTCAAAGTGTATGTGTTTAGCGTCAAGGGTATATTGTTTATCTACGGCATATTGTTTATTGATAGGACACCTGTCTTTACTTTCTGATGTCAGGTAATATATACACGATTCTGTAACATGACATTATGATAAGTTAATTTTTCACTGAAGATCTTATTCTAAGAATTCAAATATCAACATGTTCAATATTTTACAACCGTGTCATTGGTATGCGATTTTAAAAATGGCCGAACACTGTATCAAAGAACAAGATGAGGAATACAAAAATAGATTAATTTAAAAAAAATGTGAACTCAAACTGATATTAATGAGACAAAAAAGTATCTATCATGTGAGATATAACTAAATTTAGATAACGAAGATATATTGACCATGTTCCAGAAATAGTTTATTGATTCTATTGTGTATGATGCAGTCTTTATAGGAGTAAAATAAAACATATCGAGATATCTCAATTAGGACGTACAACACTCAATATCAATTTACATTACTACAGGATGCTACCACATTCATGTGATTTAACATGACTTGTTGTTCTTTAAGAAGAAAGGTTTAAAAGAGTTTCTCTTTATTATCCATATTGTGGCCTCATACTAACCCAAGGGACCATAAGCTGAATTATATACAATACACACTATCTCAGTGAGATTAAAAATAAGATTCAGCTTTTTTAGTCAAAGGGTACTTGGGGAGATTTTTCGATATTGTGCTTAATACATACTGCATAGCAAGACTTAATTCCCCTATTGTGATCCTATCCTACTTCCATGTGACATGATTTGAAGAATTAAAAAATCACACTGCCTTAGAAAACTTCCAGAGTAAAAAGTGAAGATGACGAACAGCAATCGATTAATATTTTTTTAAAAAAATATAAACAATGCAAATATGTGAAGAGAGCATAAAATACAGACCTCTAGAATTTCCAGAGGTGGGATTAGGTGCTTCGGAGGAGTAAACATCCCCTATTCACCAACCACACCCGCTGTGAGCCCAATGTATTGATCAGGTATCCGAAGTCAATTCAGCATAAAATATAAGCCTAACAATTTGTATGAAAGAAATCAACCATAATACAACCAAATAATAGTATATATTGCTAATAAGTAAAATACCAACGAATTTGTTGAATTTCCTGTAACATCAACTTATCAGTGCATAGCATGCCTTGCTTTAAAAATTGATCGTACTCCGAGAAAGCTCTTGATTCATGAATAAGTTTCGAGACATAAAGTCATCTTGTTTGTCATATAAATTAGTTGTTAATTGGCAAACTCAGTTGTGTCTTTTAATTAAAGTTCAGCTTTTCTGTCCCAATAGTTTCTGGGAAGATTTAACTGTAAACTCAGTGTGGCCCATCCTACATCTGGGAACCATGATCTAAACAATTTATAATGTACATCACATTAGGTAGCCTCCATATGAATTACAAGTTTTCTGTTCCTATGGTTCTTGGCCAAAATATTTCCCGTGTGCATATGTATATTTAAATGTAAATCTTTAAAAAACATTATTGCCCCATCCTATCACTGTGGGCCACAATTTAAATAATTTAGAATAAAAAAATCACCTCAACTGCTATACGACTTTAATCATATTATAATGGATCTTGAAAAGAAATTTTTAAGAATACCCTATGTATTTTCAATGTACAATCCCCGATTGAGGAACCGTCCTATCCCTGGTGTCATGATCGGAACAATATAGAAGGAAAGATGGATGGACAGATCCCAGATAACGTGTGATCAGATTAAGCTTTCAGCTAAGCTAACTTAAAAAAAAGGAAATTCTTTGTTCATATCTCCAAAATATTGCCTCTATGTAGTCAAGAAGGAATAACTTACTAATCAATTTATAATATACTACAGACATTAACAAGTTAAAACAGAAATCAATATGTTACTTAATTCAATCAAGTTCAATTAAGTTTTTTCTTAAGATAACTTGACTTACAAAAGCAAAACTGGCTTTAAAAATTACATTTCAGAATTGAAAGTTTGATCATGGACCCCCGTACCAGTTGCCAGGATGTAATGCGATGTGATCTGTGTGAGACCGCTGTAGTACAGATGCACTGTGATACATGTCTTGTCAACCTGTGTAAGGCCTGTGTGGGAGAACACTTCTCTGCTGATCTTTCAAAACCTCATAAAATTGTTGACTTCAAGGACAAGAATTCTACTCCTTTTTACCCTGGATGTACATTTCATGACAAAGAACGATGTAAAATGTACTGTAGGTATTGTAACATTCCTGTATGCACGAAGTGTATTTCATCTGATCAACATCTAGGTCATAGGTTTTCGGAAATATGTGAAATTCTGGATGAAAGAAAAGACAAACTAAGCAGAGATCAAACAGAATTAAATGAAGTTATGTACCCAACCTACCAGGACATTGCCTCTGATGTACAACACAGAATGAACCAGTTAGAAAATGAATATGGAGATCTTTCAACAGCCATAACAAAACATGGAGAGGACTGGCACGTAGAAATTGACAAACTTGTCAAGAACCTTCAAGTTGAAGTTAATGAGATGAAAAACACACAGATTCAGACTCTACAGAAACATTTGGATGAAATAAACAATACAATTGTTGAAATCAAAGAAGAAATCAATTCCATAGACAAATCTCTTACTTCTCACGATACTTCTAAACTATTTAGCACTACATTCAACGCAGATAAGTACAGCCAGCTACCACATAAAATTGTGGTCTCTACACCTACATTCACTCAAGGCAGAATCAATGAACAGCAACTCGGTAAACTGTTTGGAACTTTATCTTCAACCTCATTATCCTCAGAAGAGAAAGGCTATAGCATGAAGACCACAAAGAAATCACCCGAAGCTGGATCCTCTCCTCCAGTCAAACAGCTGCTTGATGAACCGGAGACTGTAACCACCATAAACACTGGGTATGAATACCTTTACAATGTGGCCTGTCTGAGTGATGAAGAAATCTGGACAAGTGGAGATGACAGCACAAAGAAACTCTTCAGCATCAATCAAGGATCACTACTAAAGACAATCACAACCAAGTCAGGAGACAGGCCATCCGACATAGCAGTGACAAAAAGTGGAGATCTAGTTTATACCGACTTTAATGGTAGAACTGTGAATATTGTGAAGAATGAGAAGATAGAGGAGGTGATCAGACTTCAGAACTGGAGTCCTAAAGGTGTCTGTAGTTCATCCTCTGGTGACCTCCTGGTTATCATGTATAGTGATGATGACAAACAAACTAAAGTTGTTCGTTACTCTGTTTCCACAAAGAAACAAAGTATTCAGTTTGATAGTAAAGGTAAACCTCTCTATTCATCTGGTCCCTATTACAGACATATTATTGAGAACAGGAATCTGGATATCTGTGTGACTGACAGTAAAGTTGGAGCAGTAGTTGTGGTCACTCAGGTCGGGAAAATGAGATTCAGGTACACTGGATATACTCCAAAGAACAAATTATATGCATTCTGTCCACAAGGAATCACTACAGACAGTCAGAGTCACATCCTTACAGCTGATTATTACAATGACTGCGTCCACATCATAGACCAAGATGGACAGTTCCTCCGTTATTTAGACGGTGGACTGAGTGAACCCAGGGGACTGTGTACCGATACATATGACAATCTGTTTGTTGCTCGATGGAGAAATAAACATGTGAATAAAATCAAGTATCTTCAGTGAAGTTCATCAGTTCACTATAGAAATACAATCGCATTGATATTTAAAAATCTGACTGAACATTTATGGAAATTTTGAATATTTTTAAAAGTGTCACTACTTTGTTTCTTTTCAAAAGTAAATTTATTTTTAGAAAATATTTCTGGCTGCCCCCTTAAATGCAACATTTACTTTGTTGATATCAACTGTGTAATATAAATTAATATATCATGTTAAATCTAAATTCATTAAAAGTTGAGAAAATGTTCAAAATAAAGCAAATAATTTGAGAGTTTATATAGTCAGACACAATTTAATACATTTTAAATTCCTTTGCCATATCAAGAGTATCTTCTGATACAAATCTCTTCCACTTCTATCTTTGTAATTGAGCTTCACAGTAGGCCTAGGTGAGTGCTTGTATCAGGGGAGTCGTAGATGGACGATGCCTTGAGAAGTATCCACCCCTAAAACTTTTTATCGGAAAAATCTGTAGCTATTCTATTACTTCAAGGAGATCTATGATAAGTGCGTTCCTTAATCTCTTAAACTCAGTTCTATGTTTTAGCTTTATACGTTACAAAACTATAAAGTTAAAGTACACTGTACTTGCACAGCCATTTGTTCAATATAAAACGACTAAAATAATAAACCCCATGTTTGTACATAATCCATCTTTGTTGCATGGAAATTATTAATCATATATGTATGTATGTGCATTATTTTATATTTTAAAGATGATAGATCTTAGGTTTTATATTTTTCAAACAGATCTTAACTGTGGGGATAACTTACTTGGACACAGACTGAGGGACTCCAAACTTCAGTCTAAGATTGACAGAGGTGACAGGTAGCATTTTCTTTATCCTCAGACAAACTATCACATCCCTGAAATAAAATCAAAGGTATAGGGAGTCACATCCTGATCCTGTTTCTTTCAAAAAAAATTATTTAAGGACTTAACTTCATGTTTTTTTCCGAAGATCAAAAAGAAATAAAGTTCACATGAATAGCAACAAAACAAAAATGAAATAAATACTATCAAATCACTAATTTTCGCGGGGATTAATTTTCGTTGTTTTTTAACGTATGAAGATACCTACTTTATGTCCACGACGAAATTCAATTTCATTATTACTAAACAATTCTTCAATCACGAAATAAAATCCCCGTGAATCATTATGTTTTCGTCAAACCACGAAAATTTGACCCCTAAAAAATATGTGATTTTACAATATGATAAATGTTTCATGGTACACATGTATACAGAATGTTTGTACGCATGGCTGTATAGTACGTCAAAGATATCGTTTATAAAAGTACATAGAATTGCATCTTCTTGCCTGGTGTTAGACTAAATGAAAGAAACATTTAGAGTATTTTTGCTGAAATATTCTTTTATCCCCTTGCAATTCATTTGGAGGGGTTATAGTAACACAATCATGTGTGTTCATTTGCGAGTGTTATTGCTGTACGAAACGGAATATGCATCGGGATCTGAATGGTGCCTTGATGGATAGATATGCTCATTGCAAGGGGATGCTTTGCTCTGAAGTGCCCTTGCAATTATTAGAAGTAAAGGGTTTTAAGGATCATATGGTCCTTTTTTGTCATAATTGTACACTTTAAATAGATAGAGTAAATGGACTTGAAAATCCAGAATAAACTATGTTTTTGGTGGAATGGAGGCAGAGCTCTCGTATCTACCTTTCTGAATCTCAATAAACGCAAGAACATTTTACCGGCATTTAAAACAATCAAAGGCCTAAAAAATTGTAAAAAAAAAAATTATTATTATATATTAACTTAAATTTTATATATATATGAATATTATTTTCCAAAGAAATGACAACCTTGTTCATCTTAAAGCTTCTCATAATAATACTCTATCCTTGAATATGTGAAAATCATTATTTTCAAATACAACAAATATGAGGAGAAGATTCATAAATTAAATAAAAAAGTAATTTTCTTCTTGAAATTGACAAAATGCTAGTGAAATTAGTATAAGACCTGCTTTCTATTGTTTGGACATAGGTGACAAAATGGAAAGGGGAGGTAATGCTGCTTTCTCCGATGACAGAGTAGAACATCGATGAAAACTGTTAAGAGAAAGATTAAAAACAACTAAAAGAAAAAAGTTGTATTGATCACCATGAAAACATAGCTATTACTTATTTCTAAATATAAAATCAAATCTCAAAATCTCAAGCACGACAAAGTTAAGTATCTGAAAATTCGAGAAACTGAAATTATGAATGGCACGAATCCGCGCTGACTCACTCTGATATATTTCAGGTATTCGACACATTGATTGTAAAGGTATTAAATTTTATATATATATATGAATATTATTTTCCAAAGAAATGACAACCTTGTTCATCTTAAAGCTTCTCATAATAATACTCTATCCTTGAATATGTGAAAATCATTATTTTCAAATACAACAAATATGAGGAGAAGCATTCATAATTAAATAAAAAATAATTTTCTTCTTGAAATTGACAAAATACTAGTGAAATTAGTATAAGACCTGCTTTCTATTGTTTGGACATAGGTGACAAAATGGAAAGGGGAGGTAATGCTGCTTTCTCCGATGACAGAGTAGAACATCGATGTAAACTGTCAAGAGAAAGATTAAAAACAACTAAAATAAAAAAGTTGTATTGATCACCATGAAAACATAGCTATTACTTATTTCTAAATATAAAATCAAATCTCAAAATCTCAAGCACGACAAAGCTAAGTATCTGAAAATTCGAGAAACTGAAATTATGAATGGCACGAATCCGCGCTGACTCACTCTGATATATTTCAGGTATTCGACACATTGATTGTAAAGGTATTAAATTCGAAGTTTCGAATTTTTAAGTTCAACATCAACTGAGGACTAACCGTCAATACACTGGGTGTGTCTGAATTGTCACCTCAGCTGTATGACACATCTACACACCTCTCGTATTTGAGGACAGATAGTCAGTACACAGCAGGGTGTGTCCATATTGTCCACTTTGGCAGATTCATACACGCATGTATTCAACTAGACATTGTCTAGATAAGCTGTTTTAATTAAAGTAATGGTTCACAATTTAAGAAAATGAAGTAAATTGTGAATTAGAGATGAAATGAAGTTGTATCGTCATTCATACTTGAAAAGAAGTGTAAAAGGTCCATTTTTCATTTGTTTCAGATTTCATACCTTTAAATCTGGAATCCGATTGAACTATGAAGTTCAAAATGACCTTGACCGGAGGACTGCCATAGAGGACGTTTTTGACCTTCATAGCACCATTTACCTCAAGGCGAGAAAAATTTCCCTACAAGTATTAAAGATGAGCTGTTTCATGTATCTTTATCATATGTTAAAAAGATTTTGTCTAAGGATATTACATACAGTATGCTAAAACTATGACTTGTGATTTTAATGAAATATATGTATGAAATAATTGAAACATTATGTTGATTCCTTATTTTACATGAGTACTTTAGTTATATTGCAAATTGATTCATACGCGTCTAGTTGTGAGAATGTAAATTCGCAACAAATACGTTATTACAGAGTTTTACATATATTTAAGCTTATGAAAAAATAAATGTAAGTATAAAATTTACTTTAATTTAAATTTACAGATTAATTTAAAATTTATATTATAGTATTTTAAAAATTCTTATAGATCTACAATATGTGAAAAACCGTGTTCTCTCAACTTGGTTCGAAGTATCACGTACTAAAGAAAATTATTTCTTTTGTCATGTCAAGTTGAAGTGAATGCCAATGATAGGAGATAAATTTACACCAGCATTTATAACACTTGTGAACTTTCCATCACGTTCACATAGAATTCACTCTTTCTCTTATCCTGCAATATTAACGGGTCCTTTCTCTTTGAATTTTCCAGATTACAAATTTAAAATGAGAGAAATATAAGTGTTTATTTGCATTTATTAAATAATTTTTAATTTCCATTAAAATGCAGAAAAATGTAAATGACGTAGTAATTACAAATTGATAGAAATAAAGAAAATCTTAAATCTGTTAAAGGCACCTGACCCCACCTTGAATGTTTTAGAGGTCCGTATTTGCTCTCCTAGTTTGTATTATTTAATGGACTTTTGATCTTGAATACGTTTCATTATCTCAATATAGTTCATCCCTACAAAGAAATTAAAAAAATGAACAGATATAAACACAGATATGAGGGTCACCTGATCTAGATAATAGATAAACAGTGACAAATATAGTGTATGTTTAGCAACAGGATCAATAGGACATCTGTCATTACCGTCAGAAGTCAGGTAAAGTTTACGTGATACTGTCACATCGCATTTGATAGGTCATTATTTCTCTTGAAATTTTCATTTACATGTACTAGTATATTAAGAATTCACGTAACCATTATTGGATCAAGTATTTTACAACTGAGTTATTCGTATAACTACACTCTATAGGCAAATTTTAAAACTGACAGATCTCTGTCATAAAGTAATGGTACCTATCGTATGAGAATAAAAACATGTGACCAATTCTGAAAATTTGATTTCATATTTGCATAATCAAGAATGAATAGAGATCACTTGATCCTCTTTTCAATCGCTAGTTTCTCCTGTACAAAAAATATATTTTCCCTATTCAATGTAACCGACCGTTGTCTTTCTGATGACATAGCCGTCAAGAAATTAGTGTGATTTAAAGAATTTGCTCATCCACCGAATAAAAGTCACTCTCCCTTCTAGAGGATATAATTTGGAAACAAATATTGACCCTGCTATACAATTCATTAATAAATATTAATGACTCTATAATGAATATTAAGCAATCACAATAAAATGATATTCTATTATATTAAAACCCATTTTAATTTGTTACACGATTCTATAGGTTGAGAAACACTTTTTCATAAAACAACTTTTAAGTGCCACAAAAACTCTACATTTCAGAGTTGAAAGTTAAGTCATGAACTCCAGTACCAGTGCCAGTACCCAGGACGTGATGAGATGTGACCTGTGTGAGACCGCTGTGGTACAGATACACTGTGATACATGTCTTGTCAACCTGTGTAAGGCTTGTATGGGAGAACACATTTCTGCGAATCTCTCAAAACCTCATAAAATATTTGATT